CATATTTCATGGAGCTCGTAATAACTTTTCCTTACACTGTGAAAGTTGTATTCTTTTAAATCATCACAATCTCCAATGCATACTTTCAAATAACACTATCTGAAATTTCATTTAGATTGGTCAAGCAAATAGTCTGCTAGGGGTCCATATGTCAGGAAAGTTTTTTTATGACCACCCTGTATATGTTTCATGATTGTTGAGAAGTTTAGGATCTTTAGTGATTAGCAAAGCAACTTTTGCAGCATTTAAAAATTATGAAAGAAGAATATGTGCCAAATCAGTTCATCTCTGAAATATTTGTGTAACTTTGATTTTTCTGAGAAAGGTATTGTTACTAAAATAAGCAAAATTAGTTTAGCATTTAGGACTATAAGCTCTTGCAAGAACTACATACTAAAAATGAAATCGTAGATAAAGATTACCTTTCTCTTAAACATGACTCACAAACTTTTATTTTACAACTACTTGAAATGTGATAGAGAAATGTCCAGTTAATTATTCAATAATTTGAAATGCTATTTGTATCAATCTAAAGTACATGGTGCAAAACAGCACAATAGCGTATGGGAAAATGAAAAGTGTGTTGAAGCACTTTTCCCAAAAAAACTCATACTGTAGCCATACCTTACAAAATTCAAAAACCTATGATGTAAAAAAAAATGAGATTAGATACCTTTTTACATGCATTTATTAATAAAAAATACTTCAGTTTGTTGGAAACATTTAAAATTATTTTTCTTTTTTACCGTGGACAAACCTCTTTTGAATATCAATAAAATATCTGTTCTGTATCAATAAAAATATGGAAAAAGAAAATTTTGGGGAAAATTCATACTCTGCTCAGTGCATAGTTTGTGATTATGTGAAACATGCTGGTACAATCCACCATGTATCATTTTCAAAATAGTTGAGAGGGTCAGCTTCATCAGCTCATTCACAGTATCAGTTATATTTGGAAGAGCAGGAAAAAAAAAGAAACTATTCAAGATTAAAAAAAGAAAAAGCAAAATCAACAGATGGATTGATTTCTCTTAAAGAAATCTCTCTTAGAAAGAGAAATTAAAATGCTTGAAAATAAAGCAAATGAACTCACTGAAAAAGCTAAGTTACAAAAGACTTTAATCTTTTAAATAAATCTAAAAAAATGTTAAAAACCATTTGTGGAAAAACAAATTCAGTTAAGAGAACTGCAGAGTTGCAAACGCTCCCGATTTAAGCAGGAGACTTCCAACCATATTCCCGCCAACCCGATTTTCAACATATTTCTCCTGAATTTCTTTTATTCTTAAAATTTCTCACTATTTTTATGTATCTTGTCTTATACTTTGTTATTTGCACCCAGAAAAGTGATTCTGGGAATCTGAAAGTACTTGCATTTTCTTTAGATTACATAGATAACCAAAGTTGTTTCATCAATTATGACACACTTTAGCTTTGTGAATGAGAGCACATGTGTTCGAAAACATTGTGATCCACTTCTCCAGTGAGCGTCGAGCACCACAGCCTGTCATCTGGAATATAAGTCTATGAGCCCAAAGCAAGATCGGGGTTATTTCGTTCATCTCATCACTGAATGGTGTGAGTGTCACATGCTTTCGAAAAACAGTTTGAGAAATTACGATCTTTTGTCTTAGTTATGTATGCAAAAAAGGTAAAATACTAATGTATATTTCAAAAATCATACACAGATGATTTTTCCTTCTATTATTTTCTCAAGGAAATATAATAAACACTCTGTGTACCATTTGTCATTGTGATTTTTTGATTTCGCTAGGTGGAAGGAGCAGTGCTTTCAGACATGTGCATCCACAAAAACAAAAGGGCAACATGAGTTATGTCGAACTTTCCTTCTATTGTTTAATCAATGAAATGTATTATTGCAATGTGTTGTCATTGCAGTATTTTTTTTTTTTTTTTTTTTTTTTTTTTTTTTTTTTTTGCATGGTGGAAGAGTAAATGCACTTAAACATGTGCATTCACAAAGAACACTGTGAATTGTATTTGGGGGTGGGGGGGAATTAATTTTTTCTGTGCAAACAGAGAACCAGAAGGTTATTAATCCATTAACTGCCCCCCCCCTTTTTTTTTTTTTTTTCATAGCAACTGGGAATTGGAATATAGATGGAATTTGCCAGGAGCACCAAATGTGGATCGACATTCAATTAGCCCTCACCAGAAAATAAAATTCACATTGACAATAAATAGTTAGTAAATATATTCTAAAACCATTAGATAAAATGGCAGTAATGACATAAACCTTTTTGAAAATGTTGAAATCTTGAAACTTACCAAAATTATACTTCTTCTCACAAATAATACTCTCCAGCTCACTCATTTAATAACTACTACTCAACAACTCATGCAGAAGCTTGAAAAAGGTTTGAATAACAATGTAAAAAAGTAACCACTGTTGCCAACCTAATTAAAGGTACGAAATTTCCGCTACTAAAATAAATCCTCAAATGGGGATCATGACAGTTAATAGGTCAATGCAGAATGCCTGTTCTCTGCCTTTTTATTGGAGTACACCCAGCCAATGAGTGCATCGAATCATGTAGCTTTATTTAGAAAAATGTTTCCCAATAGTGAAATCGCTAAAAAATACTCAAGTGCAAGAACAAAAACGGCTGCAGTTGTAATGGGTATGAAACATAAATCTTCAGTTATTATTGCATTAAAACAGTTCCATACTGCCTCTCTATGGAGGAAAGCAATAATACCGATGCAATAGTATCCGTTGCAACAGCAGAACAGTATCCAATTATTGTTTCATTTTTTAATCTAGAGTCTTCAGAAATTGAGTGTAGTTTACTTTCTGTCCCCACATTAGAAGGAAATTCGAAAGCATTAAGTACAGCTGGTTATTAAAACTTTAAAAGAAAATGCAGTTCCTCTGGATAATTGCTTAGCACTTGGTTCCGACAATGCACCAGTAGTGGTAGACTTGAAAACTGATGTTGTAGGCATTTTTAAAAAGGAAGATTCAGATTTCCAACTTATGAATTGCACCTGTCACCTTTTGAATTTAGCAGCTGACAAAGGGACAGCTTCTTTACCAATAAGTGGCTGAACACATTCTTGATATTTATTATTATCTTGAAAAGATTATAAAAAGAAGGGAAAATTGAAAAATTCCAACATCTGCATAATACTGAAATAAGCAAAATTTTAAAACGTGTATGTACATTCTGGCTATCTTTAAAGAAATGTTTATCTAGAATCATGGACCAATCAAACCCATTTCTCGATTTTTTAAAGAAGAAGTAAATGCTTCTAGAGCTAAGATAAAGGCTCAATTGAAAGTTATAAAATACCTAAAATAAATGGAGATGCAGTTACTATTTCTACTGTTAAAAATAATTGTGTAAAAAAAATAATTTCTGCACCCATGAGTTCAGAGTTCTCAAAATAATACTACAAAATATAAGTGTAAAGCTGATACAAACTCTCAAAATTAAAAAAATGCTCAAAAAGGAAAACATTTTCTAATTAATGTAACTTTATCTTTTGAAGAATGAATATTTCTGTTTTTGTCTTTGGGTCTTAACAAAGCATTTTGAAATCATTCGATGTTCTTATCACAGTTCTACAAAGCAGAATTCTGTCAATTCATGTTTTGCAATCAGTTATTCATGACATGTTTAAAAATATTTTATCAAAAGTTTGTAAAACCAAACTTTGTTTTGTCTTTTACTTCTATATATCATGTGATTTATGGTAAAATAGGAAATCAAAAGAACGACTGAGATTTGGTAATAGGGGTACAACTAAAAAAATAGTGGAAGAACTTTCAGAGAAAGACAAAAATAAGTTTTATTTCTATGTTAAAAGCTTTTCTTGCTGAGTTTGTGATTACATATTATATAAATTTCCAATGAAAAATGAAGTAATTTTATATGCTAAATTTTCAGATATTTCTGCTATAGCAAATGCATCTTTTTTTTTTTTTTTTTTTTTTTTTTTTTTGCTATAAGGTATTTTTTAAATAAATTTTCAGTTTTTCTTCATTTGGTTATGAAAGATGATGTTGCAGCTGATAAATAGACACTTACAATTAGAAAACTTGGGATAATCAGCTAGGACTGACACCCAGTAAACTAGAAAACTGAAAAGTGCTGATGAAATTAAGTATAATGAACTGTCAAGAATAATGGTAGCCATCCTGACAGTTCCCCATAGTAATGCAGAGTGCAATATGATTTTGAGTGTTGTCACTAAAACAAGAATTAAATTTAGATCTAGTATTAGTAATGACACAATAGAAAAACTTTTATTAGCATAAGCAGCCTATACATAAATTGTTATGTACAAAGTTGTGAAGTTTCTTTCTTGTTGAAAGCAAAATATGCTGTTGTTTATAGCATTTGCACAAAAACTGATTGTATTTTTAATCATTTAAAAAAAAATCTTTTTGTTGCTAAGAAAATTCTCCTGAAGTTTGAGTGACATAGGTTGGCAAGTATGGAACTGAATTCAAACATTAATGAAAAGAGACAAAAGAAAAATCAAAGATAGAAATTTTATTTTTCATTAAAGAGCATAAATATTTTTCTTGTTTCTTTTTTTATGCTGTAAAGTACTTTGTATAGATATAATAAATACAGTTTACTATTATTGATTTTCTGCATTTTTAACTGAAGTTAAATCATTTATCATTTTAACTAAAATTTCATCATTAAATCTTGTAATATAGTTTAGTTATGTACAGTTTTTTTCATCTCTCATTGTAAACTGAACTGTTATTTAAAATTTAAAAAAAAAATTGAAATTGTTTTCCATGGATGAATAATGCTCATTCTGTGTTAATTAATACTGAACTTCTCACATTTTAAATTACAAGTCTCATTTTCCTTCTAATTATACAGTTGTGTATATATGTAATAAAGCAGGTGCTTATTATTATTTTTTTTTTCCTTGAAATGTGCTTGAAAAGTTCTTATTAAAATAAATTTTTATCTTTGAAATCTCTTTTATAATCAAATTTTAAACATTTGTTGCAGAAATTGTTTTGAAGGCATTTCTGACTCAAAATGCCCTGTCTGTAGAGTTCCTGTGAACAGCAGAGATTCATTAGAAGATAAACAGTTAAAAGATGTACTTGTACAGCTAAACAAATTGAAAAATATCCTTGAAATTGAACAAAATTTAAATAAAAATCATGCATCAGAAGATCTTGAAACCTCCAAGGCAAAAATTGCATGTTCGGATGTTTCTCATGGATTGTCTGCAGTCACCAATGGAAATAAAATGGATTCTCCAAAATGCTCAACACCAAAAACAAAATTGTGTAAAATGTTTTTGTCTAAAAATGCTTCAAAAGTGTCAAGTAGTGAAGAAAGCATAGTTGAAGTTAGTATATATAAATCACGAAAAGTTACATTTTAATTATTATAATTAATATTACTATTAATAGCATCTACTTTTATGCTATGTCAAAAGAACTTTTGCTGAGAAAGTTTGAGTCAGACTTTCTAATATTAAGTTATTATCTAATAATTCTTAGAAAACAAAGCATAAATTTCCTTTTTCTAATGAAAATTACTCTTTGTAATAATAACTGTTGCCAAACAGTCTGATTGTTTTGCTATTAATGGAGTCATAACACACTCATAAGCGCATCGCTTTAGTATTATTCAATCCTGATTAATTCTGGGTAAGTTAACTTAGTTTTTGTAAAAAAGAGCAATAAGTACTTAAATATCATTGCATTGACCATGAAATCAGGTGGAAATCTTGCCAATTATGCAAAGTCATTTTGATGGAAATTTGAAGCAATATGTGTCATTTTTTAGTTCAGTCATTCAGCAGCCTAAAAATTCCTAAATATCTCTATCTAAAACTGCAACAAAGTAGCCTACACACCTCCCCAGCTTTTCTTGGTCAGTGGGTAGGTGGCAGGTAGGCTTTGATGCATGTAGTATCATTATAGTTCCTCTGTTTTCAAATGAAATCCCATATCATGTTTGTTAACACACAGCATAGGTTTTCGAAGGGGCAATTTCCCCCACCACCACCACAGTTTTTATAGCAGTATCTGTAACTCTAAGTAACAAGGGAAAAAAATATATTGCTTATTGTTCTCCTTCCCTAAAACGGGATGGAATTAGCAGTATACACTTTTAATATTCTGAAGATTTGAGTTACAATGCGTATTATTATTTTTTGTGTATTTTTATTTAATGCCTTTTTTAATGAGCTCATACATAACAATAAGAACTTTAAAAATTACGTTAAAAAGAGTTTAAAATATATGTGTAATAAAAAAATTAGTTCAGAAGAGTGTTCTCTGTTTTTATTTGCTGAGTGTACAATGGTATTTGTTTAGTTATTAATGATATTATAACAATTAATTATATCCTTCGCTGCAAAAACTAGACTGGCTTATTGGAGATTAATCAGGGTTATACAACACACTCATAAAATCTTCACATTAGAATAAATTGAAGATCTTATGAATGTGTTGTAAGATGATACTTATATATTATTGGTGCTATATTGTACTGTGTGTCAACAGTTTTTTGTTTGTCAAAAGTGGTCAGTGGAAAATTATGTAAATACTAGAAATATAAGTTAAATGCTATTTTTTTCATATTTTTCCTCACACTGTAAAAAAATGATTAAAATTTAGAACCTGCTTTCTGTGAAACAGCTTGCAATGAAGTTTTTTCAAAATTGCAGGATCCTAGCAATGAAAGTGATGTAGGTCTTTATTTTGAAAATAGATGAATAATGGCAATGCAATTGGAAAAGAATGTGGTTAAAAGTTCTCAAGCTTCCGCCAAAATAATTGTCACAAGTTTGAGCTCATAATATTATTAATTATTATTACATATTATTTTTTAATGTGTTGTATCTGTAACTTGTATCTGTTGATTATCTAACGAAATAAAGAGCAGTCTGTCAGTTTAGATTTTAACCAGAATGATTGGCAAAAGTTTGGTAAGATATCATGGTTTCGGACTATTATGGTGCATGGGAAAGTACTATAAACAACTGCAAAATTAGACTGATTGTCACCATTGAGCACCATTTTGGCTGCCTAAACATGATAAGTCTTATGTCAGTCTTCATTTTGTAATTTTCTGAAAACAACACTAAAATTCTTAAAACCGAGACATGCTGCCTTAAATATAAGATAATTGAAAAGACTTTTGAAATATATGAAAGATAAAAAATATGTAGCCCAAAAGTTCAAATTAAAGCAAAGTTCTAATTCTAAATCAAATTGCAAATTAAAGTTCTAACTTTAATTTGCAATAATCTCTTAACTCTCCATTTTAATTTGGCTATTTCTTCTTTCTGACCTAAAAATAGTAACTGCTTTTAATAAATCTTTCCAAACTGCATCATTTCCATATTATTCCATGTCATGTGATTCTTACATAATGCTAATCATGCAGGCTGTTACATAAAGGCTTTAGCCAATAATGATTTCATATGACTTTAAATTTGGGAATTAAAACTTTTAACAGCCGATACCAAAACCTTTTGTTAGCTAATAGCTAATAGGGAATTAGCTAATAGGGAAGTTGTAAAATGAAACTCAAATAACTTTGAACCCAACTTTCATCTTGAATATGTCACCCATCAGCGGCCAAGTGGTAAAATCTCTGAACACTAGTAGTTTGGTCTGAGGTTCGAATCCCGTGAACAAGCTGGTTGCATGGGCATTTTCGTGGTTTTCCCCAAATGTGTAGCATACATATGAGCCAGTTTCCTTAAACTCTTCCACAGACATCTCTCTAGGCATCTCTTCCCTTAAGCCTAAGGCATCTCTTCCCTTAAGCCTTGGAGGCTTTCCAGCAATCACATATACCAAACCAAACCATCATCTTGAACCTGTTGCATTCCTGTTCTTGCTTGTTATTCTGTAAACATGTTGCTGTGTACCTCTCTCTTTCATCCATCATATTGTCATAAGATGTAGAATAGAGAAAAGTATGCTCATGTGAAGCAGCTGTGCAGATTTTGCCATTATGATGTACAATTCATATTAAGAATGTGCTTCTCAAGAATAAAATAAAATATATGAAAGTAGCCGCTGCAGTTCGTAACGTCTTTTATGCATTAAGTCTCTCCATATCGCTTCACGAGTCATGTTCCCTGCTCCAGTTGTGACATCAGTTTCTGAATCATCACATACATATTTATATGGGTATCTGTTTTCTCTAAATATATGATTTGTAAAATATAAGTGTGATTTAATTTTGCAGTTTTGACTTAATGAGCTTTATTTGTGGCATACGAGGGTTGCTATTTATATTTCTGGCCTAATAATGAAAAAACTAATGTTTATGATTGAAAATAGTTTTATTGTTTTTCAAAATATTCTCCATGAAGATCAATACACTTTTGCATATGTTTGAACTAATTTTCAAAGCACCTTTTTCCACTCCAATTGAGGAAACTCCAAAATGTGGTTTGAATACATAAAACATTTCATCCAGTGTCGCAAATCACTAGCCAGATAATTTATTTTTGATGTGCAGGAATAAAACAAAGTCATTGGTTGCCAAATGAAGGCTGTACAGTGGATGACTTACCAGTTCGATATTTTGGCCCGTCAAAAATTCTTTCATTTGAGCCAATGTGTGAAAGCTCGCATTGTCACGGTAAAGAATGATTCACCTCTTTTGCTTGTTTCCAACTTCTCCAATGACTTCTGGCAAAGAAATGGTCTTTTACCATTTGGAATTGACCGCCCTGCATTGGTGTAACACCACTATTGCCAAATGACTGGTAATACTGAAAAAAACAGGCAACCATTTGCTTCGATGTGCTTCTTCCATGAACAACTTTTGTTCGATTTGGCACGTCTTGGAAGACCCAAACAGTTGACTGTTCTGTTTGGGCTGATATACATAGATTCATGGCTCGCCACCTGTGTAGATGTTATACACAGCCTTCGATAACCTTGAACGTATTTTTCCAACATTTCCTTGTATCAATTGACACAAGCCTTTTGAGCATTTGTCAGATTATGTGCATTTTAATGCAAACAAATCTTTTTTACGGCCGAATGTTCACAATGTCACATAATTAACTCTCAGAGACTTTCGAAAACATCATTTTAATATTTTTCATTGCTTAACTTTCCTCATCAAAGTCTAGAAGCAAAAGACTTGCATGATCATGAACTCGGCCTGGAGAAAATTATAGACAGATTGCATAGCAGGCAGAAATTTGGGGGGCTTATGAATTTTTTATTATCAATGATATTGTAATTCTAAGCATAGTTATGGGCTTGGAAGTTAACATTGAAGATGTGGAGAAGTTACTAGAGGAGCATATAAATGAACTCGACAAGAAACAGCTATAATAGCTTCAGAAACAGCAGCAAAAGACCACTGTGAAGGACATGTCTTCAGAAGAAAAGGAAGAAAAAAAATATTTTAGTTCTCTGATCTCTGAAATCTGTGCAAGATGAGATAAGATGCAAAGTTTTCATGTAATGATATCATCTTGATAAAGCAGTAGCATCTTTAGTAATGATATCATGTCTCACTTTAGAAACATTTCACTTGGATCTTGTTTGGAATGTGAAACAAACATTTTTCCACTCTGAATGCGTAAAATGCTGCTCTGGTTACTTATACATTACAGATACCCTTCAGAAAAATGTTTCCATGTTTACAGAGATGGTTCAGTAAAAAATGTGATTAAAAATAACGGTGCTAGAGCCTATTCAAGTAATTTTAGTATTAGTTGCTCTACTGGGAAATACTATGACAATTTTTATGGAGATATAGCAGCTATAATATATGCAATTGATAAATTAAAAAATAGCCTATTTTTTATTGATATTGATAAATTATAAAATTGATAAATTATGTATTATAAAATAAAAAAATAATAGAATGTTCTTGTATATTGATGCAGAAGTGGAATATACTGCTCAGCAAAAGAAGTAAAATTCCAAGTTCCTTACCGTTGGCTGTTGGACTTGCTTGCATTTGACAACTGGCCATGGTTATTTGCAGCAACATTTGCATCAAATTGGAATTAAGGATTTCGCGTGTAGCCCTCTGTGTCATTAGAGTGATATGGATGGTAACCACCTCAAGAACTGTCCTATTATTTTAAAGTTTATTACTGACAACTCTGTTGAGGCTAATTTTTACTCTCGCTTTTTTACACTGTCATCATTTTATTGAGCTACACGTCGACTGATGGCAGAAGTGCTGAAGACAGGCGTAGGATTTAAAGGGAAAAAAAAAAAAACTTCTGAAATATTTTGAAGCTTAGATAATAACAAATTTCATTGTTCAAATTTTGAAGAAAACAGAGACCATGTAAAACTTGGGCAGATTCAGGTGGCACTTAGATGCAAAGAAAAGATAAAAGAAGCT